GCAGAGACTGGACTAAATTACAATTTCTGAAGCCTACTCTGCAATGAAATTGACTGGTCAAAAATTTTAAGATGTGATCCTAAGTAATTTTCTGATTTTTTTCCCCTATATTAAACTAGAAAGGACTTATCCTATTTTTCTTAAGCTAGAGTTTTCTCCCATAATGTAATGGGCAGATACATACCCTTCACTTATTATAGCCACAGCTGGCTTAATTCAGAACAGGCAAATACAAATACTCAAGGGAGCAACCGCCTTCCAGACTATGGTTGAATGCCAGTCACTGTTTCCTCAAATAGGGACATGATCATTTCAGCCTGTCATTTTGTGCGCACATGACCAATAAATCACCTGTCTCTGGCTGGGTTGCTCTGGGATAAAACACACACACACACAGACACACACACACGTCATGTGCATAATCAGTGAGAAACAGTGCTGGAATAAGAGTTGCAAATGAATAAAATTGTGTATCCACATTACTAGACCAGCCCTTATATATCTTATGATAATAGGAACATCATATGGTCCAGCTAATTTAGCATCCCTTTGTGGCCAGCTGCCAGGAACACAATTTCGATTATTTTTAAAAACTGCTTAACATTCCGGGATGGACAATTATTGAAGAAGCGGGATAAAAATGGAAGTTGCTTCCTAATCCTTACCATCAGTGAATTTTTATTCTGTGCTTTAAAAGAGGAGAAATTTTATTTCCCTTGAACAAAAAAGACTCTCATCCCATCTAATGTAGCCACAGATGGTCTCAATCGCCATAAAAATGTCTGCTCCTTTTTTTCAAACCTACTAAACTCTTGGCCTTGGCAATATCTTAGGATAATGAATTCCACATGGTAATTATGCATTGTGTGATTTCCTTTTATCGTTTTAAATTTGTTACCTTTCAATGGCATCGGATCACCCGTTCACCTTACATTTTGAGAAGAGACAGCACAAGCTTCTTTCTTACTAGAGCACATCATCTTTTATTTTAAATATTATGACCGTGTTCATATTTACCACCTCATTCCATCTCTCAGAAGGATCTACCCTATTATTATTCTGACATTTGCAAGGCTAAGTGGATAATATAACAGGCATTCCTCTGACAAGCTAAATCTCTATTATGTATAACCTCACCTGTTATATATGCCAACATTCACTAGATTCAAAAGCAGAGAAAGCAAACTTGGAAGGGGAAAAAAAGCACTACTGATATGATTGAAGCAAATTTAAGCCCTTATTTTATTTCAGACTATGCATATGCTCTCAGTATTACTTGAAACTGATGGAGGATTAGAATATTTTGATTAGCCTGCACCTTACCCCAAGTTACCAAGTTTGTTAACACCAGAGGACAATTTAAACTGTTTACTTTTTAATTATCACGGATGCTATAGTGCAGTAAATGGAAGAAATGGATGTATGAAATAAGGAGCGATGGTGCTCCAAGGAACTACAGTGTACTGAAGTAAAAAGAACTTCTAACAGGAAGGCTTACTCCATTAAAAAGAACATTACAGATGAAATACATACATAGGACTTATTCATGGATTTCAGCTAAACCAACTTCAACTCATCAAGGATATAAGATTATATAATAGAAAGTATTTTCAAATACCTTATTAGGAAAACATTTTAATGTAAAGCAGTATTATTGTACTACAGGTGGAGAGAGAAAGAGAATGGAATTAAAGCCCCAGATTTACACTTAAGTATTGTATTTGGGCAATATATAATTGGCCAGTCCCTGTGCTAGCTGTGGAGTTCAGGGAGTTGAAGCCCTCACCTCTTAAAATTGCTGAGAATGAGAAACACTGCTCTAGAATGTGAGAACAGATCTTTAAAAAGTGACATCCTTTCAAGTACTCGAAAGTGCTATCATATCCCCTCCTGCCCCCCCGCATCTTCTCAAAGCTAAACATGCCCAGTTCCCTCCATCTTTCTTTCTGGGATTAGTTTCTAGTACCCTGATCGTCATACTGTTGCTCTTCTCTAAAATCGTTTTAGCACGTCTGAACCTTTCTTAAAAGTGTGGTTGCCCAGAATTGGACACAGTAGTTGAGATGGGAGGTAGCCACTTGTGAAAATTGGAAACAAATAAATACGATGACCCAGAGAGTTTAAAAAATTAATATTCAGATGAAACCAGATTTTTTTAATAGGACATGAATAGTCTGTTAGAAAAAACTCATGAATGATTGGTTTTATACAGTATATGGTAACGGCAGCGCAGCTATTATATGTACAGAGATGGAAGAATACAGAAATACTCATAATGAAGGAACGGATCCTGAAGATGATGGAGCTTGCAGAAATGGCTAAACTGACCTACTTGATCAAAGAGGGAACAATAATTACTTTTATAAAGGGGAAACCCTTTATGGACTTTTTGCTGAAAATGGGTAAAAATGAATTGGTGATTTTGGGATTTATTAAAAAGGGTTCTTTATGGGAAGAAGGGAACCATGATATGCGATTTGGGAGGGTGGAAATGGAAACCACCATGTTTGTAATTGCTGCAAAGAAGGTCAGAAGTCGCTTTAGATATCTTTCTTTTTCTTTTTCCTTCTCTTTTGTAGTCTCTCATTTTTTCTTTTGTTCTTTAATAGTTTTTCTACTTTTCTTTTTATGTTCCTGTAGTTTTTAAATCTTATGTAAAATAATATTTCAGTAAAAATTATATGCAAAAAGAGAGAGGGAAAGAGGGAGAGAGAGAATGATGGGAGGTAACCAAGGCAGAGTATAGTGGAATTATTACATTTTTGTTTTGGAAACTAGTTTATTTTACAATTTTAGGCTGCATGGGTAGGGGTAGGCTGCAGTCATATCACACTGTTCATTTTTATCAGTGCATTTGATTTGTTTGCATTTATCTCTGTTAAATTTCATTCTGCTACTTCCAGCCTATTTCTCAAACCTTAATATCATTTTGAATACAGCTTAAAATCATGTTTGCCCTTTTTTGCAGCCACACCATACTACAAAGAGGATATGAGTAGTAATTAACTGCTATTCTAAAATCTTTTTTACAACTATTACAAGTCATATCTGCCCCAAATTTATAGTTATGCATTTTATTTCAGTTTCCTAACTGAATATTTCTGCACTTCTCTTAATTTTTTATTCATTTTCAGCCCATTTTTGACCTAGCAAGACCATTTTAGGTATTAGATATTCTACCCAATTTTGTCTCATCTACAAAACTGATGAGTATTCCTGTTACCTCTGCACCTATATCATGAATAAAAATATGGAAGAACAGAGGACTCAACTTTGTGGCATCCCATTTGATATCTCCCCAATTTGATGAGGAATTCTTGAGGCACATTCTTTGCCTATAATTTTTGAGCTAGTTAAGTAGTTATTTAATGGTCATGTCATCCAGGTGACATGTAATGGATGGGCTTGCTAATCAGAATGTCATAGGGCATTCTGTCAGATGCTTTGCTGAAGTCCAATATATTTTGCCTACAACATTCCCACGCTCTGCTATAAGGGAATGAGAAAACATTAGTCTGGCAAAACTTGTTCTTGACAACTTTGATGTCTGGTAATCACTTCTTTGTTCTCCAACTGCATACTCATCAATGACTTTACTGCTCTGGAATCCTCTAGGAATCTGCATCAGACCAATTGGCCTGTAGTTCCCAGGATCATCCTTTCCTCACTTTTGAAGGCAGAGATGTTTGCTGTCCTCTAGTCATTCTGTACTTTGCCCACTTCCCACGATTTGTCAAAGATAATGGAGACCACCATCAATAGTGCAAAGTTTGGGCTGATTTTTTATATAGGTAGAATAAATTTGTCAAGCAACCTCAAAGGGAGAATCTGTGGGCATCAGTATTGCCATACAATAGTACAGTTTTCATCGAATTGAGCTTGGTTCCTGGTAATTTACTCAGACATACCTATTTAGTTTTCTTCACATAAAGAGAAGTAGTTTCTTACTGCTTTCTTCTGGGTTGTTAGTGTTTTTTTTAATTATTATTTTCAGTCTGAATTATTCACATAGTTTTGCTTCAGAAAAGTCATACTCATATTTTTATAATTCAAATTCTTCTCAGCAGTGTCAAATATTGACATTGCTGGATACAAAGAAATATTGATTGTTCCAAAGACATTCAGCTGGTGTTTTGCCTGACACCAATCTATACTGAGTTATCCGGAGGAAAACTAAGGCACAAGTCAAAATTCTGGATTGTTGTTTTCAATCAATTAAAAAAACCCTTCTTAAACATGCTTAAAATTCAGATGTAAAAGGAAAAAAAATTCAAAAATGTATTATTTAAAGGGTCAAGCTTTGGTGCACTGAAGTTCCTATAGATCAGTAAATTGCTTTAGAGCATTGGTTCTCAACGGGGGCGGTGGGAGGATGCTT